CAGCAGTATTTGATGATACTTTTCCTGGCCAATCACAGGTATTTTGCTCAATCCCATCCAGAATACTAGATCAAGGACAAGAGGAAGAAATTACAGTAAGTCTAGTATCTTATTCACATAGAATTACATTATGCAAGGGGTGTTTTCAGAAAGGAATATTTCTCAGAATTTCATGAAAAAAATTTTCCTCGTGAATTTGATTCATTGCATATCTTTTCCAGTGAATAAGAACATTTTGAGCACTGAATAGTGTACCTCTGTACAGTCCATTGAAATGTTGGCATCCGTAAAAATACTGTTCAAGTCACAAAGAGAGACTAAAGGAAGTCTCTCTATGGCTCTATGCTATATTTAATTACTTGAATGGATGGGAAAATGATGGGAGAAATACCAAAGAATTTTTCTTGCACAGATCTTAAGGTTGGAAATGTGTTTCTTGCAATTAAGCAAAATAAAAGTGATTTTTTCCAGAATTTATTGGCAATTTATCATGCTATATGTCTACATGTTGAGCCAGTGTCCGTATGTTGGGTCTCATTCATGGATTTTTATTGAAAAAAAATAGCCTTATGTTGACTTGTCCACATTTCAAGGTGTCTGTACGTGGGGGTCTCACTGTATTATAAGTACCCAAAAATATAGAATATCACTGACAATCCACAGTTTGCTTTTGTTTGAAACAATTGTGTCAAACAAAGGCTTTTTCTGAGAGGTTTTACAGGTCAGCTGTCTTGGGACATAAATTGAAATTATTTTCTAATTTTAATTCAGGGGTTCTGTACCAAGAGTCCCTGGTTTTGTCTCAGGCTCAATCTGTCTTTTAATTTCTCTATACTTCTTTCTTGATCCACAGCCAAAAAGTACATCCTTGTCTTGTTTTAACTTTTGTCAGCAACAGCATCAAAATGCGGTAAAGCAAAGCAAAAGTATCTGAGCAGAAGACAATAGAACAAAAAATTTAACATATGAAACAAAGTTTTTCAATTGGAAAATGAACTCTACATGATTTTCCTTGAATTATCCTGTTTGTGTTTCAACTTTTTCCAATACTAAGAGCGTTAGGTATTGAATATGATTACAGCAAGAGAAACACTGTAAAACCCATCAACAATTACTTGTTTACTTAATGCTGCCTCTTCGGAATTTTTTAAAAAGTGTGTATCATTGTGTTCATGGTTTATTCCAATACGACCTTTGAAATGCTCATTTTTTTGGATGGATGATGTGGAATTTGTTGAAAAGGATTTTTACCTGGAATAAATGACTTCATTATTATCAAGTATTTTAAATTTTTTAACGATGACTGACTGAAGCAGCACTTGACTAAATTTCGCGCTGAACGACAAAAATTATTTCGCGAGTCACTATCATTTTTTTTCTCTCAGTTCTCAGCGGACATAAATTATTGAACTACTTCGTTGACTTCTGAAGGCAAGGGTGAAAAATCGAAGTGGGATTAAAATTGCATTTACCTGTTGGGAAGCAGTGTTCGAAAGTTCAGCTTTATTCGTCAACGCCTTGAGACTGTTCGGATCGCCGAAAACGTGCAAAGAATAATCCTTGTTGTGCATGATGACCGGAAGAATGTAGACAGCGGAAATCAGTCCAATCTCCGAATGTCTCTTGAAGTCGATGAGGAATTGCTTGTACGGATAATTCTTGGCGTAGAAATCCACGTTCAAAAGCCGAAGGTACTTGAAGAATTCGTCATAATAGAGCTTCAGAAATTCCGGCATGTGTTTCCGCACTTCCTTCGACGTGCTCGTGTAGAAAAAGTGGTTCAAATCTGCTCCCGGATGCGCATAATGCGTGGCCTAAAATTATATATAATTAAATGAGTAATTAAAACTACTCCATCATATGCGTAAATAAGATTTACTAATTTGAACCTATATTATCAAAATTATGAAAAATGAAGTGATACTACTTTTAACAATTATTTCGTGCAGAAATATGTATCATCGACGCACGTGATCATGATGCATAAATTCAACTGACAAATGTTTTGAAAATTGGGTAAATCAGGTACCTCGAAGTTCAAAAGCCGAACTTTCTTGGGTTTTCCTGTTCCATTGGATCGTTCGTCGTATTTGAACATCATGTTTCCAGACCAGCAGTCACCGTGACAAAAACTGTGCAGTGATGTTTTTGTTTCTATCAAAGCCTGGTGCCTTTCAGGCAAGCTCTAAAAAGCAAATGAAACGTACGAAAAAATTCAATTTATGAAAAATTTCCAGAAGGACATTTATTCCCAATTGAAATTCTTCGGTAATTAGTATACTGTATCAACAAAAATGTTGCCCAATGATGTGAAACTCAAATTATGCTCCATGAACTGTGATGGGTAAGATTATGAAATCAGGCTCTAGTAAAGTATAAATGCAATAGCTTTTATACTCACTGTTTTTCCCTATTTCAGCCCTCAAATTATACAATGCGCTTTTAAACAATCACAGCTGATGAGCTGATATATTATCTGAAAGGTTTATAGTGATCATAAGAAGTTGAATGGATGGATGGGAAGAATTTAAATTATATTCTAATTTGCCTTGATTCAAATTTTAATCTAAGATTTTTAAATATTTTTGCAATACATTTTCCTTGTAATTAAATTAATGTCCAGCTAAATTTACAAATACTGTGCATTGAAAACTTGTTAGCCTCATTATTGAATGATGCGCTGTTTTTTGGCATGAGAATTTATAAAAAAAAAAGGTCTGCCTGTATGGCATTAAAGTAACTAAGCAATTTGAGGCTACTTTTTGGCTCATGAACCTGAGTAATTCCTATAGACAGTTCCCATGCACTCAGAGTCATTGAAGGGGAATTGATAAATCAGTTTGATCTGCAGGATCAACCTATATTTTTCACTTTATATACAGTATTTTGTTCAGTATTTCTTATTGTACATTATGAAGGAAAATAAGGTTAACTGTTGCTGGTACCTTGCAATTCAATGTCCCACAATTTGATGTTCAAATTTTCTAGGACATTGACTTGCAATTCCACCTCTTTCCCCACAATTTGGCCTGCAAAGAGACTCAAAATGTCAAGTTCAATGTAGAAAGCATCAAATTTGACTATGTCTCAGAATTTGACTGTTGTACAATTTGACCCTATCCTTGCAACAGATTAGGGTCAAGTTGTGGGGCACCACTTGCAATCCTAAAATGTATTTGAACTACATTGTTTAATTTTCATGCTGCAGAATTTCAACAGCATGAACTTCAGATAGGAGTTAGTCAGAAGGATTCACCCATTTTGTGGAACCCATGTAAACATTTTGTATATAGTGTGAAAAATTCTAAATTGACAGATTTGTTCTTTTAATAGTGAAAAAAAAAAAATTTCAGCAAATGTTTCACTGATTTACTTCATATATTAAGCTGTCCAAAATTTTTTTCGAAGTTCAAAACAAATTTAAGCTGGTGCGGAACCCCTGGGGAATTTGGTGTCATGCCATCTGATGAGAGGACCCCCAAAATTCAATAACCCCTCGAATTAATTAATTCATTCACCGATCGTTTGACGTAATTGCCAAACAGTCTGGAATTGTTGGCATTGTTCACGACGTTGGCCAGCAGGAGTTCAGCGTGTCTCGCCCTGTCCGCAGCCGCGTCCCGCACTTCCGGCGACAAATACGGATATCCGGCGTAGAACCGGGAAAACATGTCCGATGCTCTGTCCTTGTGCTTCCGGAGCACCATGAAACCCAGGGCGTGTAGCTTAGCCAGGGCCTCCATCACGAGAAACACCTCGTCCTTGGACAGGCCCTTTTGTCGGTTCTGCACCTCAAAGCCATACTCTTCTATGTCGTCCACCACAATGGCCATAATGCGAGAACTGGCAGAGGCATAGACGCACTTGGGGATGTGGGGCACCATGGCACGGTCAGGGTGCACCCTCTGCATCCTGACAATCTTTGAAACAAAATTTGAGAACAATTAACCCTTCTGAAGCAAAGTCAGGAATTTTTTCAAGACTCTGGGTGCTGTCAGGAGACTCAGGAACGACATTTAAGAAAAGAAAACAATTACAGAGTGTGCATAGGGTGAAGTTGGGTAAAAAAAAAAACTGGTATTCTTTTAACCCTTGGGCAGTAAAGTCAGACATGGTCAGGGTGCACCCTCTGCATCCTGACAATCTTTGAAACAAAATTTGAGAACAATTAACACTTCTGAAACAAAGGCAGAATTTATTTATTTTTGCAGACTCTGGGTGCTGTCAGGAATGACATTTAAGAAGAAGAAAAAACCCATGACTGAGTGTGCATAGGGTGAAGTTGGGTAAAAAAAAAAAAAACTGGCATTCTTTTAACCCTTGGGCAGCAAAGTCAGACATGGCCAGGGTGCACCCTCTGCATCCTGACAATCTTTGAAACAATATTTGAGAAAAATTAACCCTTCTGCAGGAAAGTCAAAGATTTATTTATTTTTGCAGACTCTGGGTGCTGTCAGGAATGACATTTAAGAAGAAGAAAAAAACCATGACTGAGTGTGCATAGGGTGAAGTTGGGTAAAAAACCCTGGTTTTTTTTAAACCATTGGGCAGCAAAGTCAGACATGGTCAGGGTGCACCCTCTGCATCCTGACAATCTTTGAAACAAAATTTGAGAACAATTAACCCTTATGAAGCAAAGTCAAGATTTTTTTTTGCAGACACTGGGTGCTTTCAAGATCCAAGAATGACATTAATAAAAACCATGGAATAGTGTGCACAGGGCAAAGTTGGAAAAACCCCTATAATTCTTTTAACCCTTGGGCAGCAAAGTCAAACTTTCAAAAAAATTTGGTGCCTCCATGAACAGTAAAAAAAAAAAAAAAAAAACAGGGCAGTGCATCCAGGGCAATGTTTGGAAAATCCTAGCATTCTTTCAATTTTCCAGATAAAATTACATTCAGACCTAAAAAAATACAGCTCTGGGATATTTGTCAACGTTTTTTTTTTATTGTCAAATTCGGATAGGAATTATTGCACTACACTTGATAAAAGAAGGAAAAAAAATCTTCGTTTCAAAAAAATTCAAGACGTCACCTGTTTAACAAAGTTGTGCTGAAACATGGTCTCTCGCTCAAACAGCCGCATCCGTTTCGCAACTTTCGCGAAAATGTCTTCTTCCGGCAGGAATTTGGCGCTGAGTGACAGGGTCTTGCTCACAGAGTCCGGGTCTTCGGTATATTCCACGAGAATCTTGCAAATTCGCCCGGCAAATGCCTTGGATCTCGGAGTCGCATCTTCCAGGGCAAAGTTGGTGACTTGGATCTGGATCCTGAGGAAGCTGTTCATGATCTGGTTCAGCCAAGAGAGGGTAACCAGGTTCTCCGGACTCTTGGGCATGCCTCTAGGAATGCGTGGAATGCGGAATCACTTATTCTCGCTTTTTTTTAAAGTGTGCAATTGATGTTTTTTAAATTTTCAAGTTGGTAGAAAAACAAAATCGTCCGAAGTTACAGTGGATTCGGAGCCTTGCGAAAATAATCTGTTTCATGTCTTTTGGAGTGTTTCATAAATTATCTTTATTCTGAAGTCTCTATTACTGTATCAGGAAATAATTTGCTCCGAACACTCTGCTAACTCTTAATTTGAAAACTTGTGAACACTGTTGTAATACAGTATCATTGTCCCGAAAGTAAATTTTACATAATCGGTTGTCTAATGAAAAAAAAACACTTTCCATTTTTACATGATGCTGACGCTCTTCTTTTCTTCAAATAAATATCATCCGTGTCTTTTTCAAATTTATTTGGTTATTGCATCAATGACACGTTACGAGAGATGTGCTAAAAAATATTGCCCCAAAGGTTCAGTTTTTTTCAGAAGTTAAGTTTTATAAATTTGAATGGAGTAAATTGTTCTTTGTTGCACATATTCTTCTGCGGAAAAAATTCTTTGTGAGTCAATTCTCCTCATGCAATATTTTGTAAATGGGATTTTTGTTATACGAGTAATTCCCTAAATACACAAAATAGAGCTACTTATGCAGTACAGGTGGTACCTTGCAATTTGACCCTAATCCATTGCCAAGCTATAGGGTTGAATTGCAAAATGGTCTAATTGCAAGACAGTTTGTGAAATTCCAAAACATCACTGCAAAAAAAATGGCCAAAGCAGGTCAAATTTCAGGGCAAGGGTCAAATTGCAAGTCAACTTCCCTGCAAATTTGAACGTCAAATTTCAGGACAGTCAAATTGCAGGTGGTCAAATTGAGAGGTACCACCTGTATACCTGCCTTGTGTGAGATTTAATTAACCTGCACTGTAAAAGAAATATCACCACAACGTATAAAGAAAATTAATTCGTAAACTCTCAATATCTTGATTTTATTTATTGGTCAATCTATCCTTATTGTCTGCCCTTTTTTTCGAAAATCTAGACCTATTGGATTAATAAAAAATCTTTTTAATAAAAATGAAATAGTACAGGAAACCTCGTTACTCATAAGACGAACGCTGAATATAATGAAAGATCCGTTTAGAACGACCTGGCGTTTCTCTCAAAATAAGACACTTCCGAGAAACCCTTATTCGAAACCCGGATTTTTAGTGATATCTTGAACAGAAGCAAAAGTCATCCCGATCCGAATGTTTTTAATCATTCATAGATGTCGCACGACATTCCGTGTTCCGGATTTTAAGCTCACTAAGACGGCAGAAAATGCTGGTGATGACGCCTAGAAATTGACAAACAATATACATTATACGGAGAAGAGGTGAAATGAAATCCTTAGCAAAATAATTGAAATAATCTATTTACATGTAGACGAAAATACTGTAAAAAAAAAAAGTTTCTTGTACCTGACGAGGAAATGTCAGACGCAATACTTTGGGATTGCGACAAAGTGGCCGAACGAACCATGGTGACGTCGTCTGGAAATAATCCGTCTTCTTGAAAATCGCGGCGGGGAAAAAATAGTTTCTTGTACCTGACGAGGAAATGTCAGACGCAATACTTTGGGATTGCGACAAAGTGGCCGAACGAACCATGGTGACGTCGTCTGGAAATAATCCGTCTTCTTGAAAATCGCGACGGGGAAAAAGTTGATTTTTTATGATCACTTAAGATTCATATTTATTAGCCACAATTGTAGTTGGGATTGATGAGTGAATAACTTCGATAAAAGAAAACACTGCGAAATTTCTTCCTTCGAAAAGTTTTTCGGTGATTAATTTGAGCATGAGTGTTATCTTCGCGGCCTTCACTAACCTCAAATATGTAGAATTATCTTCACTCAGCTTTGATAATTTCTCGTCCACTTGTTGAAATGAATATTATTGAGATACTGTGACACATTTACACCTATTATTATTATATGTACAGTACGTTTATTAGGAGAATAGGCCGCAGAAAAAAATCTGGATGCATACGAAGACACAAATAAAAATAACGTAATGGAGACGCTAAAAAGGCGGTTTTTCAGAGAGTGAGCGTACTCTCTACTTTAAAGAATCTTGAGACACATTCTTCATCTTTAAAATCCCGAAGAACGGTGAACGCTTTGTTAAAACGCCCATTTTATGCTTGATTCAAATTAATTTTTCCATCTATGATATTTTTTTCAGCACAAATTAAACGTGTTATGAAGTAAAGGCCTTATTTTCAACATTGACGTGGGAAAAAATAGCATGAAACGCATCAGGATTTTTTCAGAACACTTTCCTTTTGGGAAATTGTTTTTTATTTGTTTGTGTTTGTGAAACAAACGAAATTCGTTTTTGAGATAGATCATAGAAAATTCGTACTAGGATTGAATTTCGATCTTGAAGTTAAGAAGATACTGAAATTCTGGGATTACATATTCATAATATTGACATGTGTGCGAACGCAAAATTTAAATAACATTCAATCGATTCGATTCAGCAAAAAATAAAGAAATTAGATATTTTCATTTTGGAAATTCTAAAAATCACCCAAGCGTTTCACATTACAGCATGAGAGCAAAATCAAAATGAAAAATAATCTTCGCATGAGATGATTCCATGGGACTAAAAAAGTAGAATTTGTCTCGCTTTCAAATTTAATTTGAATTTTTATTTTGTCACTTTCAACATCGTCTTACAATTTTCACGTACAAATCCACAGGCTTGATCACGAACGGATGCGGAACAACTTTGTTGGGAACCTATTTTCATATAAAGAAAAAAAAAGCAAAAATTGTTATTAAAGAAATATTTCCAAGTAATGCTGATATACTCACGTTCGTCTTTTGGCATTTCGAAAAACTGAAATTATGCACCATTGTCGCAAGTGCAAGTTTGGCTTCTTCTTGAGCGAATCTCATCCCGATGCAATTTCGCGCTCCGTTTCCAAATGGCAAGTATGTGAATGGTTTGATTTTTGGTTTGTTTTCCGGAGAAAATCTAAATGTGTGAAGAAATGATTTTAAATTTTAAGTTTAACATTTTCCATCACAGATTCGATATCACACAGCAGGTTGTTTCGGTGAGAAACTGAGAATAGACGCGTTCAAAATTTAGTTGGAACGTGAAGCAATTATTTTGATGAAATGAGAACAAAATTTCGTCATCTACATGAACGCAAAAGACGACGATGAGAAAAATAGTAAAAATCACACGCGTATTTTTTCTGCAATTCCAAAAATTTTTATGTTTACCGAAAAGTTCATTTTTTTAACGTTTTCCTGTCATTAATAAAAAACATGCTCAATAGAGGAAGAGAACGTTCATAATTTGACTCAAATAAAACTTGAA